CTTTACATCATTCTAATTAATCATTCATGTCATCGTTCTGTACGATCGACGTATTGCTCAACAAAACCAATTGTTTTATCCAAACCGCACAACCGAAAACAGATGGCGAGCTGCATTTTTTTCTCTCGTACGGTTCAGTATGGTCTATGTTGACAAAAAACATGAGCTCTCGGGCGGGCATAAAACCATTGATCAAAGAAAAAATTGAAGACTGCTGTTTGCAATACTAGTCCCAGCACACATTTTCTCTTATCGTCAATCGCGCTAAACCAGAGGTCCCTACCCGGGAGCCTACGCGTCCAAGTCTATTGTTCACAGTTGTCAGAACCTAGAGCCAAGTTTTAGTTTAATCACATTTAGACAAAACGCAAGTGTATTCATCAGTTGATCACTGGGCAGCTGATCTCAGCTATCTCACAATGTAATACTTGTCGGCATTACAAGCCTATTGCGAATAACGCAGAGCACGCAGCTCAGTACAGACACAAAGATGGAACAGCTGCCTGCTGCTGCGACACAGATTTCCCCCTTTAATTTCCTTCGTTCTGCATAGGACAAATCTACCCGCTTTACTTCTCCTTTGTACAAAGTAATCAGATGCTTATCGTTTGTGACGAAACTATGACCCTTGATGGCCACCTTTGAAATCGGAGGAGTGAATGATTGAAGAATCACTTGTCTGAACACATGTGTATACCTCAAAACGATAGCATTTTGTAACAACCCTTTATTTTTGTTCTATTGAGACATTTACACTAAAACGAGTAGCTGATGTGATGATGATCATCTTTCGAACTTTATCTTCCCGCATAACCCTTGAGTCATACGGTTTATACTGCGGGTCGTAGAACCTATTCCCTTAACCCTACTTGATTGAGCTTCGAATCCGTTGCATCCGTTGCGTGTGTGTACCAACACAGGACACACTAACTTGTATCGGATTCGAATGATATTATCAACTCGCTTTTGTTTAGATTTCGTTTTCATCGTTCGTCTGTCTGTTTAGTTTGTCCGACAACGGTATCGTGCGCAGATAAATTGGATTGTCGCAGGCACTGCAACCTATCTCTCGTTGATGTTTCACTTGTGGTTTCTACAAAAGTAATCAGCCCTAGGGTCTATCTATTTTCCCATTTATCACGTCACTGTTCACATGCCCGTTCAATCTGTGATTGTTCAGTTCGTAACTTTTCCACTCTCTTCAGACTGGGCTCAGCAACTGGATCTGTTACCTAGCAACAAGTAAGTCACACTGACGTGTGTTTCTGTTTATCTATTTCAAGATGATCGTGAATACTTCACTCGCTCTATCTCACAAAGGAATGGAGCAGTTTAAACGCCTGTTGGTTTTTACCATAATTGATTTCACCTATCAACGCAGCGGGAAATTCTTTTGAAATTTAAATGCACTATAGTTTTTAATGATTTCAATTATTATCAGCACTACTCATGGTGAATTGGAACGAACGTGACAATGCTTAGTTCTGCTCAGAACGCCAAGTGTTTCGTATACTGTCAGGTGTTTCACAACCGATAGCTTCTTAGAAAAGCAAACCATTTATGGTCACATCCTTCAGGATCTTTCTACCTATACATATTTATATCCGGGAGAACTGATTGACTGTAGACAACACCTCGGTTTTGCAAAAAATTTTCATTTTTCATATATATTATTCTCTGCACAATACGATGCCGTAAATTCGTCAAGTCAAGGAATGGCTTTGTACATCTCGAGAGGTGGATATTCAGCAACCACATAACCACAGTGTGTCAATAAAGAGTAAAAAAAACATTATAATGCAACAATTAAAGGACGTGAAAAAGGATAGCAACATCAGAAACTAATTTCATACCCGGGTGTTTGTAATTGATTTGGTTTAGCGTTTGATGCAGATTTCCTGCAACGAGTTCATGTTTGTTAGAAATATGGTGATATATGGGACAATAGACCGCTTCAGTGCGTCTTTATAAGTTTGTGAGTGGAATGGGTGGATGAGTGAGAAAGGCACTGACTAAGGACGAAATCAAGATGATGGAAAATATCAGATAAAATCTTGTTGGAGAATATTTCACAGAACTTGAGGTGGTGTCACCACATACTACACCAGATGTGCTCGTGGGATCAAACCACAAACTGACAAAAACTTGAGGAATCGGGAAATAAGTTTGAGGTCCTTGTTAAAAAGACAAGGGAAGATAACAGGGGACCCAGAAAGCCAGTGAGGCAAAATGCACGCAAGAACAAAACGCCTTATTAGATGGTTTTGGATGGAAAGTGATTTAGGACGTAAAACAAAACGTGAGCCTCCTGACCTTCAGAGAAACGTCATTAACGTCGTCAGACCAGGTGAGGTTGCGGTTGAGAATAACGCCAAGGTATTTGACAGACGGTTGCTGTTCCATCTGGTCACTGAGGATAGATAAAGCTGGGCTGGCATTTGATAAGTCCTCATACTTATGCCCTTTCAAAAAGGAAAAAACTACGTCGTTACATTTTTGGGGTTCATGCGGAGGTTCCTTTGTTGAGACCACTCAACTATTTCTGACACGTCTTCTTTTAGAGTGGTTTGAAATGATGAGTTGGGCTAGGGCAGTCCGAATATTATATCGTCTGTATACTTAACAAGAAGAGAAGAATTGCTCACAGGCATAGAGGAAATGTAAGCAGAAAATAGAAAAAGGGTTAAAATAGCGCCTTGCTGTACGCCTGGTGAGGAGGGCAGCAGTGAAGATGTATGACCTTTGTGGCGTGTGACTTGCTGACGGTTAGAGAAACAGTTGAACTCCGCCCAAAGAGAGAGTATTCAGCAAGATTTGTCAATCAAATTCAGCTACTTCGGGTATTTTCAATCAGTTACATGCGCTCATGGATATTCAAGGTTAAACATTGACACAATTAAGTGAAAGGGTATCAGACAAAGGAGCACGTCGTTCTCAACGCACGATATAGTAGGATGGAGAAGGGTTCAAAGGTTACGTGAACAAGTACAATCAATACCGGTAAGTGACAGGGGAGTTAGTCGGTTCCGATGCCTGAGGGCGCGGGTGACTACACAGTACAGTTGTCTCCATTGATTGAGCTGAGTTTGTCGAATGACGGCCACTTAAGAAGGCAGAAATAATAAACGATTACATTGTCTGCTTAGTATTCCGAAGGAATTAGCTGTTTATGCAATCCAACAAATGGTGCGCAAAGGAACACCACATGTTGTAGCCCCGCAATGCCGACTAATTGGGTACACACTGGGACATACTGGTGGATCCACTTGTATCAGTCCATCCCATGCATCCGCCACCGCAAATAAAAGGAGGCAAGCAGGTCCGTCCAAACTCAATCCCATCAGCAGATTGTTAGCGAAGCGTTACAGAACGTTTTATTCGTCTTCCGAGCAATCCGTTATTTCCCTCTCCTTTGAATAAAACAGTGGGTTAAACCTCCACTGGTTTGAAATTCGATTAGGGTGAAGCCGATTATTGAGTATACACACCCTATCTCACTGTTTCCTGGTCTCGTTTGTTATGCTGCAGTTGGATGGATGTTTTCATACCACTGATCACAGTGATCATCTGGTTCAATTCCACACCCAACCTCGAGGTGCCTCATGTGATTCGCCCTTCCAAATCCCGGTGCTTAGGTTACCGGTTTCCATCACTGAATAGCAAACCATCGGGACAATGGAGTTCACCCCGTTCGTTGTTCATGTGTGTAATAAAAAGTTATCTCCAACTGCAATCAGAAACAACATGACTAGGAATCACAATGAGGTTATGTTCAAACCAATCGAATAAGTCTGACTGTGTTTGTGTACCACCCAGGATGTGTCAAATAAATTATAGTATTATAGTTCCAAAAGGTAGCGCCCGGATAAGAAGAGTTACTCATTAAAAGAACAACATAGAGTAGGATCAGATAAGATTACACAGAATCGTTGGCTAGTATTTTCATGAACGTCTATCAGTGACTATCAGCTCGACAGTCCCGCTGTTTCCTCTATACTTAGAATAGTAAATCCTTTAATAAACTCTCAGCTGCCGTGAAAATCCAACAATCGCTTCTTTTTGCGCGTACTAAGAACCCTGCTCAAAAATGTGAGTAGTATCTCACAGCAAAAATACAATAATCTTTATAAAAAAAGAGACATTTATACGATTTGTTTGTGAACCGAATACTGCCAGGTTGCCAGATCGAGGTAGTTGTATTTTCTCGGTGAAACCCCAACCGAAGCCTTTGACCAGTCAACATCTGACCCGCAAGGCAGCGGGGTGGTGGAATCGCAAATGCAGCCTGGAATATTTGTGATGGTTCAGCACAGCATTTCAAATGGCACACATCTCAGACTGATTTTTGACTCGGCTTTCGAGTACTGAGAACAGCATTAGTTTAGTTTTTGAGACCTAAATATGCTGGATTTTTAACAAAAGGTTCCGTTCATTGTGTTCTCTGTTCATTGACTGATTGTTGATGAATTTGCAAAAGTTGTTGATGAAACAGCTAATCTGAAACTTGCTCTATAGTAAACCAAAAAAAACAGTATGAATGTATGAGAGCGTTTCAAGTTCATATTTTAATCTGTGGTGTTCGGTTCAACTATTTGTTCAAATCAAATACTGTGGAATTATAGTTAGCTGGTTTTTCAGATAAAAAGATTAACAAGCAGGTTGAAACAGAAAGTTCTTTTCTTCCAAAAAATTGGTTTGATGCGTGACTTATTACAGTTCCATTGTTTTATTCAACTTCAGGTTGTCAATTACAGGAACAAATGAAGCATTTCTGGGTATGAAATCCATTTGTCAATCCGTTATCAAACCAACGCATTTAGTTTCCAACAATCCATCTACCTATTCAACTCTTTCATGGGTCGGAACTCTGGAATCCGCATTATCCACGTCTGTACATACTGGTCATTTGGAATCACCCTCATCCAATTCTCAAACCGCATACGTTGTACTCCCAGTCAATCCGATTGATTCGGAACTGAAAACAGAAACACTACAAATAGCCTATGTGCCACTCGGGACCGAGTGTGTTTCTCTATACACCACTCTGAACCCAAATAATCCAATACAAACACCCAGTATTCCCTTGATCAATCCAGTCTCGCGCACAACTTCTGCGGAACAAGGAAGTAATATAAATCGTGCCATTGGAGGCCAGATTTGTAACACAAGTCAAGATGGAGATAATCCCAGTTGAAGACATGTGAGCGTATTTCTGTGTGCTCACTCCATTTTCAGCGTGCGGGGATTTTAAAACCATTTCCTCGTCCTCGTCCCAAATTCTGCGATCGTTTATTAAACGCTTAAACCCTGACCACCTTCGGATGATTTTGTACAAATGAGTACTACCCACATCCACTTACTACTGACTATTCATCTATTTGACTGGGAAGTCAACAGAATTGGATGTGGTGGTGGTGGTGGTGGTGACTGAACTCGTCGTTGTTGTGCATATTTATTAACCCTATTATTACTGTTATTAATACTTTTTTACGGGGCACATATCATGTGTATTGATCAAATAAATGTATATGATAACAATCCTCGAGAGAATATTTTCGTAGACCTCATTCGTGGAGTTTCACTCCAAAATTTACGATCCTTCGGATAAAATTCTCTATATCACTGAAATTAGTGGTTCTAGAACTTACACAGACACGATTGTCTATGGCTTACGGAAGACATCCCAGTATAACCTAGTACCGATAATGAGTATCATCAGCTGTCTCACTGTTATCGCAAACAATTCTTGATGTTCACTTTGATTTGGAGAGCTTCCGTGGATCCGACGCATTTCTGCAGCACACACACTTCCGCCTCAATTTTACTCTGTAAGCTTGAGGGTAATAGCGGGTCGGTTTCAAAACACATGCAAATTAAATTTTGTATGGTGATTTGTAACACATCCTAATGAGACTTTATTCCAAAGGCGAGAACGTGTTACTTTTCTGCGGATTGTCGACCCATTGTGTTCAGGTAAAACAGTAAAGTGAGTGAATGAGCGAGTCAGTGAGTTTGGGACTTTCTTATGACCCCGAATCACAATACTCATAGGACAATACCCACCGTGAACAGGAGTGGTTTGGGAGAATTGTTTTGTATTTTTCTAAAAGGTACTTTCTCTGGTTTCTCACCGCTGAGACGCTTTCAAATCATGACATGACTGTTTCCTCTCCTTATTGGGCACGACGCACCACGAATAGTTGAATTTGGCTCGTTTGTGAATTACAAAAACTCTCCCCCCTTCATTATCACATCGCTCCATCGTAACTTGGTCAATATTATCCACCTCAAAGAATTAGAACAACGGGGCATAGATCAAAAGCATTTGGAATATCGCAATCAGTGCCCAGTTTCGGGGGAAAATATAAAATGATAGAGCGGTACGCGAGTAAGACACAATAAAAGTCTCTCGTCAACTTAGTCTCCCCCTCCCCTCCTCTCTGAAGAGAAATCAAACCATACTAGACAGATAGTGTCGAAAGTAGAATGAGTTGGAATCACTTCACCTTATATATAAGTCACCATAGGCAGGTGAAGGTTCACCAGCTATATCCACCAGTTGATAGAATTGTCCCAATGTAACATCTGATGAGGATCTAAATGTTGCGTCATACAAAAATCGATGATATAATTATATGCAGCATTTCTCTGCTTTAAAATGAGATGTGCTTAGAGTTGCATATTTTTAATAATGATTCACCAAAAATTAGCAGTACCGTGGGTGCTTCCAATCATTCCAATCAATGCTTCTTCTGCTTTCTTTATACGACAAAACTGTTTGTATGGTGAAATTAAATCATCACAAGCTTCATTATAACAAACATATAATGTTTTTCATCGCATCATCAGCAACGAAAATACCAATGGTATTTCGTCAAACTGTAGCAGCTAGTTAGAGGTTAGGCATCTTCATCTCATCGTATGAATGCGAGGTCAGTGCCATAATGATTTGAACTCTGTCCAAGCAGAAAATAAAGCATGCATTCAGGGGGTGTAATGTCATGCAAAATGTACCACAGTTAACGCTTTGTATAATTCGGTTATTGTCTGACCAGACTCGAAGGAGAAATTATCGGGAAAGAAAGAAGCGAGGAACCAAGCTGCTCCAGACTGCCTTGATTACGCCAACCAAGTTTCAAATTTGCTGAGTCAAATTCGTGCTGAACGCGGTCATAAATTTACCACAGCAAAACACGCATGGACAGATTTTCAAAGCATGATGGAAGAAAAACATCGGCAATCCATTTTCACGGTTCATTTGGCTTTTGCATTGTCCTATTCGGTACCGGTGCTCGCCTCGACCACTGACTGCAACGGTTCAGTTGAAGGTGTGGCAAAAACAGTGAGGGTTTTGTCGCTTCCTAACTTTTCGAGTTCACAGTTTGTTCAATCCGTCCCGGACAAAATTCACCAAGCAATAAAAAAATTTACATCTCACCCAGTTGTAAGCTTGTTCTTGTTTAACCCCATGTGAATATGCAAACACCAATGAGGTTGGGTGTGTGCGCGCGCGCTCGCGTGCTACTGTTCTAGTTAAAGCCTCACTCCTCTGAAATTCAATTACTTCCCACATTCTTGGTCATAAATAGTTTTGCTAAAGTATGTGTTTTGTGTGAAAGCTGATAAGCAGCAATTACTAGCTATTTCGGACCCACTGGTACACACTATCGGTGCAGATTACGTTCGTCTCCTTGTGGGGACTCAAGCATTTACTTCTATGAGAAACCTCGGTTTTTTCCGTTTCCAATGGAACTATCTTTGACGACCAACAAAAGCAACGGATCTTTTAGGGACCCACCGGTAGTGCATGTTTCCTGCACGGGACTCGAACAGCAAACTTTGTCCAAAAAACAAGACTTTTGTTTTGCCTACCACTCGTTCCATGTCGGACAGAACCTGTCTCATTTCTAAGACACTTGAAAAGAACCGATTGTGCTTCATATAACAATGAGACGTTCGTGAAACGGTCACGCAAACTCCCACTAATCGTAGAGAATCTTCGACAACACTGACTAGATGTTTCAGCCGTGTCAAGGATTATTAGGGGGGATGGACACATTGGCACCGATGGTTACGAACCCAACAAACGACCGCTTTATCATATTGTTGACTTGTAGCAAGCTTCTGAGAACTAACCCGGATATCTTAACTAGTTAACATATTGGACTAAAAACCATTTGGGGCCGGGTTTCAATCCCAGTTTATTTGGTGGGTGTGAGTTACTGCTGATTCCCAACCACGATAAACCAGTCGTACTTCTCAGGCTATTTGTTGGTGACAGAAAAGTTGACACTACGTATAGAATGCACTTACAAAAGCAACTAGCAGTACTTTGTTTGAATGGGTTACCGAGCAAGAACGAATATGACGAATGGTGGAGTGTACATGTGACTGTTCGTCCCCCGGGGAACGCATGGCTCCTTACCATTGATACAGTGAGATGCATGTGGGAATGGGTGATAATAATTGATAACTAATCACGGTGGTTTGTGCAAATGAGTGAATCGCAGCAAGACTGAAGGATAAATCGTAAACAGGAATCGAACCATTTACTCTCTACTTGCTTCAATATATTTAATGAAGGCCAAGAAAAGAGGGCTTACATTGTTCAGGCGCACCAATTCTCACCGTGGACTGGTATTTCTGCTCAGCACGCAGCTGTATCAGGTTCTTCTACACAAAATGTGGATCACAACCTCAGAAGGAGTACGAGCTAATTAACTTCCAAATCATTCCGAGGAGAATAATAAAGGAAAGTTGTAATAGTTGAAGCGGATCACGGACGCCGCGGAAACACAGAGTCATACTGGCACTTGCACGACGGTATCCCACGTAACCGAGAAGCAAGGAATAGGCCACAAAAGTAGCAGTTCGTTTGTCGGAAGAAATCAATAGAGGTAAATAACATGTAAGAAAGAAGTTTATTCATTATCCAGGTATCTACCAATCGCGTCCTCGTATTCTTGATGTCGTACAGCTTCTGTCTAGGTCGCACGGCTCCTGATTGGACGGCGCAATCTGCCTATGGTTTGTTTTCTTTTGAGTTGCACTTGAGATTTTTACTCCTAGGAGTATCGCATGTTATACAGAAACATTGAAGTTGTACGAGATGTGTCAAATGATTTGATGATACGGGCACATCGGTTAGACCTTTTCCAATCAACATGTGTTGCAGCATGCAAACCTCACACCTTCGCAGTCCTTAACCAAGCTTTGCAGCATCAAGATTTATAGAAAATATTCTTTTCAACATTCGTTGACTTTAGAATATTCCGATTCTTTTTGATCTGATTCGCCTACTTCGGCTTGGCTAAATTTTGTGCTTTGAGGCTAAAGGATTGCGGGTTTTGGCTAAAGCTCAATGGGAAAAGGTATAGTTTGTTCCTCTCTTCCAACCATGTGCTAATCACTCGTACTCCGACTTCATCATCATCATCAGTCACATGTGGAAAAATGACTCACTACACCTGATCAGGGATCGGTTCAATGCTCAAACGACTGCGAAAAGTACGAACTAGTCGCTTGTCAAAAAGACACAAGTGAGGAAGAATTGCTGATCAACTATCGTACATCAAGCCGGATATAAATAGAGTGTAACACTCATTGGGTCTTTAGACCGGGCTCTCACACCGTAGTGGAGTGAACAGAGATACGCGACAGAATGTCCCTCGGCTCGTATTCTCACAGCTAAAGACGATACGAGGCTTTGTTTGAGACGAACGACGGCGGGGAACGACGGTATAGAGGCCAGACAGGAAATGGCGAGGAGACCCTGGCAGACAGGTCTCCCATGGGTCGGGGTTAAAGTTAAACACGCAAGAAAAAGCAAACAAAAAACCATGAAACAAAAAGGTCCAATGAGATACGAGCACTTACGATCAAATTTCCAAGCGTTACACGTGAATGCACATCACGAGTGGTAGCCGCAAAGTTTACACCAGCTTGATAACCGACAGTCAAGTCAACATTCGGTCAGTGACCAACTGAATATGTACGTGCTCAGTGTAGCCAGCCAGAATGCGAGTTTTTGGAACAGTAATGAGCATAAGTAACAGCGTTATGTCGCCACAATAACCCACAACCAACCACAGATTCGTTGTGCCCTCCGTCGGTAACAACTGTGCACTAAGAAGAAAGAACTGAAAGAAAACACGTTCCTCTCCCGTGTTAGAACAGCCTGAAGTGCAACATTCC